TGGCAACCAGCTCGCACTTACAATGGTTGCAGCATCTTGGGGTCAGGTGATCGCCATTTGCAACCTTCCCAGCCAGCTTCTGGCAAGCAAAATCAATGGGGAACTGCATGATTTGCTTAATGGCTGCATGATTCACTTAACAGCCATGGTGATTCACTTAATGACCACTGCAAAAAAGGTCGTAAAATTGGGTGTGACTCATTTAAGAACTGCCCCGCTTAACAACAAATTTTCCAGTCCCTATTGTGGTTGTTAAGCGAGGAATACCTGTATACAACGATCCGCATATTTGAATGGGTTTTTAGGAGATAGTGCTCACTTCCCCAAATACTGCAGTACCTCTGTCAACACTTTTTATTCATTGTTCATTCTTTGTGTAAAAAAGAACAGAGAGCAAGAACAGGTTTGGGGTTTTGTTTGTTTGTTTTTACAAAATGGACAGAAAAGTGCCCACACTATATCTTCTCTGTCTCTCTCTCTCTTTCTAAGTGAAAACTGGGAATCTGGGATTATGGCACATCAGGGTAGGTTGGCAAATGCCTTTCCTTGCCATTGCAGATGTTTTTAATCATGTTTAGGGCACTACATTAGAAGTGACATTTCCCTTTCTTGAAGGGTTCCTCAACTGGAATTCATGCATGCCTTTAAAAAAATTGAAGGGAAAGAATTTGAAATTAAAAAAAAAACAATAAAATGGGAGGAAACAAAACAGAGAGAGAAATTAACTACCTCTGCAGCTGCTGGGGGAGGGGGGAGTTCAGCTAGCTGCACCCAGTGCTGGTTCTATCCCCATGTATGCACAGACATAACAACAACCCCCCCCAAACAACAACAACAATGAAGCAAAATATTTAATCAGTTCCAACAGGTCATTTGGAAGCTGTTTGATTGTTGCCAAGTTTATAATGAACATAAATACTACAAAAATTGTTCATATTTTAATTCAAGAAATAATTTTTATTTCCAGCCTTAGAGTAGCTCCATCACTGATGGATTAATAATTATTTAGGTGGGCTTGGAAGGATGTTAATGGGATTTTGCACCTTGTTTCAAAGAATACTTTTTCTTTTGCAGACACCTCTTTATGGAAGGAAGATGGATTTTAACTTTTTCAAAACAACAGATTTTCAAAAAGCCTCTTCCAATACATGCCGCCCCTTGTACTTGACAGGAACTATCTGTCTTTCTGGAAATTTCACCCTTCCCCACTGCTGTATAATTCATGTCACTCAGCAGCTCATATTAAAGTCAGCACCAGTCTCCTAAGAATTCTCATTTGCACTGTCATGAATCAGTTATGCCCTGTTTGCCCTCAGCGCTCATGTAATTTACATGAGAAAATTGGTTTCCGTCTCTCAGCCACTCTTACTGGCTTTGACTAGAATGTAATTTATCAAACATGCTCTTCGAATGAGGGGTGGGGCAGGAGAGGACTATAAGAAAATGTATAGGGCAAATAACGGGCAGACACTTAAAACAGTTATTACAGACAGAGGTGATAGAACTGGATCTTTTGGAGGCACCGATTACAGATTCGTATGGCAATCCAGGCACACGTGTACATACGTTGAGCTGTTTCTCTTAATTATTCCTCATTTGATAAGTGGCAATTGAATATCTGAAGCAGCCTCTGTTGAAATGAATTGGCTCTGAGATTAGAATAATATTGGGTCCGTGGGTATCTCATCTTTTTCACAGGGAAGTGAACAAGCACCGACACACTCTTCAGGAAAGAGGCACACACCTCAGTGGTGCACATGCTCGCAGACAGAAGATCCTAAGTTGCAGATCTTGGTGTCTCTTGTTTCAAAGGTTTAGGTGGCAGGTGGCGACACAGAGCCTGGGAATGGTTTCCCACCAGGAGGGGAGAAAGTGACCTGCTTAACTCACTGAGATGAAGAATTTAAAATTAATTTAAATGGAAACTTTAAAACCAGCCCCAGTTGAAATCAGAATGGCTTAAAATCAATTCTTGGGGGGATCCCCATATTCTAAGGTGTTATCTAGAATTCCAATGTTTTCTGGTGAACTGGTGGAGCAAGTACTTCTCACACCACCCCATTAAACTGTATATCTGAAGTGGTTTCATTTCTGACTTCATGTTTTGTGTGAACACAGCTCTTGTACATAGCTTTATGGGTCACTGGGTTATGTATGAGTCCAGGCATTGTAGTTTATTCAATAAACCATGGTTAAAACAAGCTATGGCTTACTGCAGTGTGTGAATCCAACTAGTTCCTGAGCCAAATACTTGCTTGATTCAGAATCAGGCCGTTATCAATAGTTCAGCTCATAAAAAGTTGTATATTTTATTATCCCAATATTATGAAAATAACTATAACGCTCCAGCATCTATGAAAGGAAGAACAGTGATTTTTGTTCAACTCCATTTCCCCCTCCCTTTAACTGCACAGATGGTGAAATGTTTCATTCTATTTATAAGAGCACCACTTTCATAAAGACATCTCATACAAAGGAAGTCTTAAGGTTTAAGATGCAAGACAAATCTTCAGTGGAATGGCAATTGCTTTTTGGAATGCACGGCTAATGAAAGGTACTCAAAATATCTGACAGCAAAATGAATTGGGTTTTCAGGATGAAATAAGCTGCAGTTAAAAGCCCTTCCTCTCTCTTCAGTGATAAATATATCTTAGTAAATCTTATGGAACTTTTGTTATGGGCTTACAAAGTCAACAATAATTGCTACAAAAAGTATCTCCTAACCTAGAGATACCACTGATATGAAGAATGTAGAAGAGTACATTTAAATTAAATATAATCCATTTTAAATTAAATGGAACAGTTTAAAATTATTCCCAGTTGAAGTCAGAGCATAAAAATAAGAGCCAGGGAATTTCCTGTGTTGTTATTTAGAATTTTAATGTTGTTGGAGTAGGGAGGGTGTGACTATTCTCACACAACTCCATCACCTTGGACCTCTGAAGTTATGTAGGATAAACCAAGGTGAAGATCTTATTCTGTGATTCCCACACTAATCAAGCCTTTGTGAAAAAGTGGCCCTCCAACTGTTGTTACGCTGTCGCTTCCATTGTCTCCATTCTGTCTCCATGGTGGCTGAGACTGATGGGGACTGTCATCCAACACAACCTAGAAGACCATAGGTTTCCTATCTAGGCCATAAAGTGAACATTAGAAGGACCTGTTAGAGAAAGAACTCTAGATCGCCTTTTGTGTAATGAACTCCAAGGCAGCAGATACATTTTGGTATTGCTTTTTTTGAAAAGCCAAGGACAGGGTTCAGATAAAATTCCTTTGTTTAACCTTTGCTTTAAGGTTATATACTATATACTTAATCCTATATATATATATAGGATTAAGGTTTAATCCTATATACTCTTAGTATATAAAACGTATCAAGTAATTAATCTGCGGCAGAGTGACAAGTGGAGCACATCAAATAACATAGAGGTGATCAAAACAGTTACAGCAATAGAGGAATTAAACCAGCTGTCACCCAGAACATGTTTTCCTCTTATTACAAGAGCTATACTAGCTTTTAATTAATGCCTGGACCTAATTCAAAGTCCTGTTTAAGACCTCTAAAGCCCTGTCGAGTTTGGAAATGGGGTAACTTATAGACAATCTTCTTCCATATGAGTCGCCTGTTCCTTATAAAAAATCCACAGACACATTGATGCAATATTTATCTCTGGGCCTGTTTACATGTTCTCATGTAACGGGGCTGATTTATTTTTTTGGTCACTTTGATTATTCCAAGATAGATAGATAGATAGATAGATAGATAGATAGATATGGTATATTTCATTTGTATCAATGATATTCTGCAGTGGGCCTTTTTCCCCATTGGCTGGAATTTGCTTCACTGTCTCTTGTGACTCAGATGATGTAGTATTCCCAGATCTTTAAAGGGGGACTATGCCTTGATGGCTCAGATGTGTTTTGCGTAAGGCCAGACAAATGCAAGCACCTTGCTAATCCAGTTTAAAATGCAGGTGGGATTAATTTGAACTTCCTTGACTCTTTGTAAGTCTTAGCAACTATTTCTATGCACCCAATAGCCCAGGCAAAGGCAAGAGTTACGTCAATTCCTCCTCCTTCTAAGCAAGGGGTGATCTGTCTATAAGACACTTGGTTTTCTTGGAAATGGCTGCTTCATGGATGGGAGGAGGGGGTGTTAGCAATTTATTTTCCTTTCTTCTGTGAAATGATGGAGGTGAAAAACATTGTGTGGCTCCACAACTATCTCTACCTCTGCTCCATAGATAACATCAGCATTCTAGTTCTGGTTCTCCTTTGTAGGTATTGATTAGACTATAATCTCCTTTGTTCCACTCCATGTCATGCAGCAACATACAACCAGGGTTACAGCTTGTGGGAAAAGCTGCTGATTACAAACTTGCTAGCATGCTATTCTTTCACCACTACAACTAGCAATAGGCTTTAAAATGCAACAAAGGAACGATGGTTTTAAGTCTGTTCAATAGCATCTAGTCAGATTTCTCTTTTGAAATGGCTTGACAAAGGCACACAACATGTTTTGAAGCATGGAAGTGTGGTGGATTTTTTATTTATTTATTTGTTTGTTTGAATGTGGGATTTTTATTGTTCCAGGATCTGCAGTATTTGGGGTGGGATTGTTGGAGTTGCCTATTTGTTCCAAAATGGAAATAAAAATCTCCAAACTCTTCCCTGTAGCCACATTAGTAGCTATGCAAGTTCAGGTAACAGTATACAAGAAAGCACTATGATCAAGCCAGGCAAACATCATGGAAAAGAAATAAAATCCAGGTGTACAATATTATTCCGAAACTTGTCTTTTGTCTCCATTGCCTCAGCTGTCCTAGTAATCACCGGGAGAGTAAATTAAACATATGTTGCAACCAATTCAGAGTCTCATCTTAAAGCCATCTTAAAGCCTGCTCCAAGTGACAGCAACTCTTTCTTCCTTCCCAAATTTGAAAACAAAAACAAATTCAGCAGCAGAATTGGTTGAATTCTGTCAGGCTGATCATACATACCTCTGCTGAAGGATAGATAAGACTTGCTTGCAGTAATTATCCCCATTTTTAGAATATCCTTTCAGCTCTTGATATGCCCGATCATGCTGAAACACAGCACATGGATTGAGTCACAGAGTTTAACATTTGGCAATATTTCAAGCCTACACTAGGGTGACCTGCTATGTTGCTTTGGCACAAAGCATTTGGAGCTGTCTGTACCTGCTTAGGTGTGTATGTGTGTGTGTGTGTGTGTGTGTGAGAGAGAGAGAGAGAGAGAGGAGGGAGTGGCAATGATTCTTCCCAGCAGGAAATATTGGGAATAAAGGGAAGGAGACTTAAACTGATAATTTATCTCTTAAACAGATGAGTCAGTGAGAGTATACACAATGCTCAGATTTGTTTGTGTGCATGCACAAGAATTTCAACTACTGAGTTGCAGCCATTTCTGAGCATCTGGCATCTCCATCCAAGAAACTGAAAGCCCAGCCTACTCAGGAAGAGATGCATTTACAGTATCACCACACCTTCTTTAGCATCCGCACAAGGATACATGGCTGCTTTGTCATCTCCCTCTTCCCAGAATGCCAGTTTGTTCAGTCTGTTCCTAAAGTATGATTGATGTTAATTTTTTTGAAGACATTGCACGTATTCATAAAGCTGAAGAGCACAAAGCAGCAGAACCTGAACCAGTTTGCACCCACGTACAATGGATCCGGATCAAGTAGAGAAAGACAACAATTCTGCTAACTTTACCCCAAAATAGTGGTCCCTGTAGATTTTCTGTGAAATATTTGTGGCTTCCAAGGGGTCAAAATATACTTGATGCTGTGACATGTGGATGTTATCCTCAAGGATGTTAGTGTTTCTCGCTTGTTTTTGCAAAGCATCTACCCAAAATGAAATTTGAATCATGGCACAGGTTTCAGGCTGTATTTCTTTCAGGCTGTCTTTGAGTCAAAATCACCCAGTGATGAAACTCAGAGAGAGTTACATGATTTCACTCCCTGCCCTAATAGTTGGTTGGAATTAAGATTCAACCAAGGATCAGAACCTCTTATGGGGCAGCAGACAAACGAGATAAGTGACCCAACAAACAAGCATGTCTTCCCACTACTAGGAAGGACTCTGAATTTCATTCTCCTTTCTCTATAACCCTTTACACCCCAGATTTGTTTCAAAAAGTTGGAGGAAGTTTTGCCTTAACTCCACTGGTAATTTTTTGCAGCCTCACCCTCGACCTGCCATTTGAATGACAAGTGTAGTCTTTGGGCTGGAAAAAGTTAGGTGCTTCTGACACAGAACAAGGGTGGGCAAACTTTTACTGGCAGAAGAGTTATAGGGGACCTTTGGGTGGTACGCTGGGGCTGCAATTCAGAAATGGGACAAGGCCAGGGCACAAATTATATTTGGTTAAATTAAACTCCTGTTCACATTAGATTACTTAAACATTGCTAATAGGATTATTCCGATATACTGGATAATACCCCTACTTGCTGGTTATTTTGGTTGCAGCTTTTGGAGGAAGTCTGCCGGCTGCACCCACAGATTCCCCGCCTATGAGCTTCGGCAAAGAGAGGAAGAAAGGAGATGTTCTAGGAGAGAAGAGGCTGGCCTGGGAAAACAGTTTAAGTATGGGCAGAAGGAACAAAGGTGTGTTTTTTTGACTGGACACAATCATTGTGGAAGCTATTTTGGGACATGGGTCCATGTCATGCTTTCAAAGTCTCAAGAATGCCCCCCAGCCCCAAAAGTGAGCCTCAAGCAAACAAGCAAAACATTCAGGAGGGTCCCTTGCTGCTTGTGCTCTTCCCCATCGTGTTTCTTCTCCTTCGCTTTCGTTTGCCTTTCGTACCCAACATCTTCATTTTTCCAGGAGGCCTCAAGGTGGCCCCATTCTGAGAAAATCAAGATGCTGGAGGCGAGCAGTAGCAAGCCTCAACTTTTGGGAATGCGCAAAAGGAATGGAGATGCTTGCTGCCAGCTTAAGGAGGAGTGAGTGAGCTGGAGACAGAAAATCTGGAAGAGCGAAAGGAGAAAGGGGACTTAGAGCATCCAGGAATCTATGGTACGGCTCAACCCAGAGGCCAGCTTCCAGGAAAGAGCCCTCAACCTAGAAGTGCTGTAGGAACAATGAATTCCTTCTGCCTGCCTCCAAGCCCTTGTGAAATTGCAATCTGAAATCCCCTTTCCAAGCAGACACCCAGTCTCCTGGTCTAAGGAAGAGACAGAAGGAGAGAAGTTGCACAGAAAGGCCCGTGTTCCACTCACCATGCAGTCAGCGAGTGGGTTCTTCATTCTGGACTGCCTGCTATTGCTGTTGCATTTCCAGTTTGGTCTAGGTCTGAGGCTGGGAGTTTCTTGGCAAGCAATTAGGTCAGATGAGCAAAGCAAAACACAAGGTAATTAAGGGACTAGCCCAATGGCTGGTTGTTATCCAGTGCACTTCCTGGTAGTTAAACAAAAATCAGAAGGCTGGAAGCAGTTTGGAAAGTGTTTTCTGTGCACTTTTTATCAGCCTGCAAGCAGAGCACCACTGTAGAATTAAAAGGGATCCCAAGATGGTAGAGTGAGCAAAGAGCTGGGTTAGAATTGCAAGCCCTCCCTCATCATTCAGATCCTCAGCCATGAAATTCAGGAGGTGACCCTGGACCAGTTATGTGGCTGAAACCTTTACCACCGCACTGGGTTCCACACAAGAAGGCTGGAAAATCAATGTAGCAAACTCTTCTGTCCAAGTTTCCCAGAGAACCAGCAGCATAACAGAACTATGCCAAGTGGCCATCCCTGATAGGTGTTCGCTTACAACTTCCACAACCTCTCCTCCCAAAAGTACTGCAGCTCCTCCCTTGCAGCAATTCCCTAAGCAGGTTAAAGTTGTTTTAGTTCAGTGACTTTTTCTACTCTTGGTGGTAGAAAAACATAGGAAATAAATGCTAGGTGTTGGAGACACAAACAGGAAAGACCTCTCTTGCTGATGCCCTGCTTCTTAGCTTCTCCTTATTGAACTCCATTCCTAACTCTTGTGATGTTCAAATGCATATAAGGACATTATTCAGTCTGGACTCCTGAAAAGGGCCATGGAAAGCTTCCAAAGAAGGGAAAGGTCATAGGTTAATGCCAGTGAGAGAGGGAGATGGTAAAGAAGCTGCTGGTAAATGTTGGGTAGCTGTAGTGCCACATAGGCCATTCTTGTTGTCCACAAGCAAATGCATCTTATTTCTTTTGGGCAACAACTGCAGACAGGCATTTCTGCTATTCCCTTCCCTAACGTCCCTTGACGTACCTTGTAAAGATATTGAAGGAATTCAATGTGTGCCCATCTTTCTTTGCTCAAGACAAGAGCAAGCACGGGCAAGACACACCTAGGATTAATTTCATTCAAAGTGTAGTAAGATAGGATTGAAGAGATTGTAATAATAGCAAACCTGTTGTGTAACTAGCTAAAAAGGAAGACAAGGCTGGTTATCTTAAGGACCATCTATCTTTGATAATTTCTGCCCATCCTGTATGATAGACAGGTCAGGCATACTCCAAGTTCCATTGATCAAACAATATCACTTGTCAGGACCCAGGAAGCATACCTTCTCTTACACTGCACTAGCCCTCTGGAACAGCTTCCCCCCAAGATCCATATGGCCCTCACCCTGAGGGTGCTTAAAAGGTCTTGAAAACCTGGCTGTTTCCCCAGACCTTGAGTTAAGGTGTGTGGCAAGTCCATTATAGAATTGTGTATGTTACTTTGAATGTTTCTCTTCTGGACAGGTATCATTCTTTTCCTTGTTTTATTGTTCTTGCTGTTTTAAATGTTGTATACTGCCCAGAATCTGTATGGAGTTGGGTGGCCTTCTAAATTTGACAAACAAACAAACAAATAAATAAGACACATTGGCTCAAGAACAATAATTTAACATTGTATGAACCAGGACAATTTTGGTTTTTTCAACAACTGTGGTTAAAAATTACAACTTAGTGTGAGGTGCAAACCCAGTCAGTCATACATGCAGCATGAAATAAACTCATGTTATGCTGACTCATAGTCTTACTGAGAAACAAGAAGATGATTTGATGTTTGCAGAAGTATAACAGATGTCTGAATCCAGAGAGGCTAAACTATTATTCCCAGGCAGTCCAATTTACACTAAACATTCAGTAGCTGTGGAATATTAATTTTAAACCAACAAACAAAAATGGAGGAGGGGTGGGGAATATTGTTTGTATCCCTTGAGGGGAGCATGGCTCCCTAGTGCCCAGAGCAGCAGGTTGGCTCAGGATGTTGATACAATCTATTTTACTGCAGATCTCTCTTGTACATTCTAAGAGTTAGTCCTCTTTAGACATGTGGATTCAGGTGGGCAGAGAATGCCTTCCAGCCCCTGAACGTGAGGCATATCCCCATTGGCCTGAAGGCAAATACCTCTCTAAAGACCATGTAGGACACTAGAAACACAGAACTGTGATCTCAGGAAGATAAATGTGTTGGGAAATTGCATAAATCAAAGAACACCTGGGTCCTCTAGGTGCTCTGACCTACCTTACTCGTTTTTAAATTATGAAACAAGCAACACCAAAAAGAATTCATCCTCATCTTTATTTTCAGAAATGCCTCGTCTCTAGGCATCCTTAGAAGATGAAAAAGGGCGACAGTAATGCTTCATTTGGAAGGGTGTTAAGGGAAACCTATTTTTGAAGGACCTCCTGGGTGCTGGACACAGAGTATTGGATTTAAGTTATATGAAGGTAGTCTCCACCTGAATGTTAGCCAATACTTCTCAGTAGTAAGAATGGTTGGATAGTCCAACCAATTGCCATAGAAGATGGCAGAATTCCCTTTTCTAGATACTGTCAAGCTGAGCCCCAGCAAACATTTTTGGGGATGCTTTCAGTCAGATTCCTGCACTGAGCAGGAAATTCTATACAAAACAAAGGATGAAATTCAAGGAAATCCGCCCCAAAAGGCTACATTTCAAAGCCACTAGCCAGCACCAACTTACCTAAGCAGATTTTTCTATACAAAACGTTGGTTGAACTTTCACTAAGCATCCATCTAATATAAACAAGGATTTAAAAAATGTATTGGGAATGCAGCAACAGACTTCAGCACATTTATCTTTTGCCACCATGGAATCATTTTGTTATTTGCTGCATGTGATCCCGCACTATCCTAGCAGTCCTCCCTCTAGGAAAGCAGTATTTTGCAGGGAATGGTGTGACTAGGACATCCACTGATTTTGCAAAATTAGATTTGACTTTGGGTTAAAATACGCCCTTGGTATTGACATTGGTGCCTGTAGCATTTATGAATATCTATCTCATTGACAGGAGGATCTACCATTTGCGCAAGTAGAAATTTCCATTGATTCCTCCCTCCTCAGTCTGCTTCTGAAGCATAACTGCTAGAGGGGACAGCAGAAAATGGGGAGGCATCACTATTGGAAACCTGCACTGGATCAGACAGCCTTCTCTGTCAGGATACAGCTTGTATCCAGTATAAATAGGAACTAAGACCAGCATTATTATGGTAAGATACATTTCTATACTGCACTGATGTTCTACCATTTTTTGTATGAATTTTGCTTTCCCCAAAGGGTTATTCCATTTCTATTCTGACTTTCAGTCAGGGAACATCAAGGAGTGCCAATGTCCATGCAGCTCTCTTCCAGCGCTATCCAAATCTCCTCATTGTGAGCAGTGTTGTCCAGCTATGTGCTTGGTGCCTGAGATCAGAGTTTACTGAAGGCTGGGCAAATGTTTCCATTTACCAGTAGAAGTTAGTTGTGTCTTTGTGATGCTCAGCTATCATGTGCTTTGGGCTTACCATGTTTTATGGCTTGGCATGAAGTGGGAGTCCAGCTCTTGTGGCTTATAAAACAAATAATAGCTTAGCATGATTTGTGAATCCAACTTCTGGTTAAGCTGCTTAGAGGACTTCAGCCTAGGTTCAAGCCTTAGGTTTCCCTCTGCAATCATTTAATTAGAAAGAAGGCAAATTAAAAAAAGTCCTAATGCTTAGTGTTTATTATGAAAGTGTTTTCAGATCTAAATTCACAACATTGATTGATTCCAATTTCAGAAAAATGGTTATTTTTATATTTATGAAAAAAGGAAAAAGAAGCAAAATCCAAGGCTATACACGTAAGTTCTCATAGTTCCAGGAGTTGCTCAGACTGTTTTGAAATCTCAGGGGAAAAATTGCACCTTTTGCCCTGAGCTGATCTCCTGAATATGGCACAGGGCACAAAAAGGGTATTACTTTTGGGGGCATGTAGGACTTTCCATGCACACCTGTCGCAGCCCTCCACCATATTAGATTGGTATGTGTCATACTTCTTTTTGATCTGAGTGTCATTACCAATAATAGTGATAGTGATCTTATTGTAGCATTAATGCACAAGGCTAAAGCAAAGGTTGAAATAAATACTACCAGCATACACACATCCTTTCCCTCTACTGAAATAAAGGAAACCGATTTCCGAAGTATACAAAGCTGAGCCAGGCACTTAATTTTCATTTCATTCAAAACTTGCTGCAATGGAACCTGCAGAAGGAAATTTCATCCAAAAACTCAAGACAATTCTGAAAGAGAAACTAAAGTCGGGCAGTTTAGCAACATCCCATTTGCCCAAGGAGTACTCTTGTAGTAGAATAAGAGCTCTTTTGATAGTTTTTGATTTCCAGACAGGCTGGATTTGGAATAGTTTGGTCATTCCCACAGTACCATGTAGAACTTTTAATTTATTATTGGACATGAGAGTTCAGGAATACAACAGAAAATATAACATCAGACAATAATTAAATAGTAATTAAAATGTTAATAACAAGAGAGAATAAACTATCCCATCTTCTTCTTACAGAAAACCAAAGTTTATGTTGTGGTGTGTATATATGCATGTGTATGTACATATATGTGTGCTTGCACACACACACCTATTTATTTGTGGTGAGAAGAATGAACATTAATAGCCCTAAATGCCAAATGCTGGCATGTACTCTTAAAGTGATGACAGACTATATAACTGACCTGAACCTTCAGCATATTGTGTAACCCATATCTTTTTATATACAGTGCAAGGCATTCTAAAGAAACTGGCATTCAGTTACATAACAATTTGCCCATCGTTTATTGCAAAATATGATATTCATGCGAGTGCACAAACATGCTCAGCTCCAGTTGTAGAATATCTGGAACAAAAGGATGGTTTCACAGGCCATCAGTCTGAAGAAGGTCGTCCAGGATCACTCTGAGAAATGTAGAGTTATTTGATAATGTGTGAAAATGGATGATTAACTTCCTTCTCTAATAACCCCAACTCAAGCTTTTAGGTCTTATACAGGTAGTCCTCAGTTTAAGAACAAGTTCCGTTCCCAAGTTCTGTCCTTAAGTCAAATTTGTATGGAAGCAGGAACAGTATTAATGTATAATACTATATAAGTACTATTGTGCAATGAACTCAAAGCATTGTGTATTTAACTAAAATCATTGGGTATTTAACTCCAATTTTGCTACAATAGGCTCCATTCTTAACTATGGGTCGTCTGTAACCTAGGTGTTCTTAGCCCGGGGACTCCCTGTACATTTATTCTTCTAAAAGACAAAAAAGAGCTACCTCCATATATCAGATATAAGAAAGAAGCCCGCTTCAGCATATGACAGTAGGAGGGAGAAAAACACATGTGAATCCTTCTTAGGAGAATGGCATATGACTTGATCTCATTAGCAATCAATAATATTTTCTCCTTAAACAAAATCAGGATTATTTCACAGAAGGACACATATCCTTGTTTGCAGGATATGCAAGGAAGAGACAGAAAGTAAATTCTGGATGTATGCACTTTCCGCTCCACTGTATATAGATTTTCAGTATGAACCGATGTGTGTGATTAAGCTCCAATTAAGTGTACTATTAAAAAACAGGCAATAGAAATTGGGGGTGGGAGATGAAGGAAACAAACAGTATCTGTGTAAGGGCCTAATTGCAAGATGAGTGCAAGGCTAAAGTCACACTGAAGTTTCTGAACCGGCCCTCTGTACTGGGTCTTAGGTAAGCCAGTCCTCCGATAGAGGAAATGGCAATCTGCATAAAAGAGGCAACATATGAAGCAATCCACTGAATCAACTCAGAAATGACCACAGATACATGTATTATTTCTTTTTGGCATTTTTAATCTGGCACTCTACAGTTCGGATTGAAACTGCAGGTAAGGCGTCACACTTCCAACTTAACTGGAGGTACACTGAAGAGGCTTTCGTCTTCAGAGGTGTATCCAATCTTTTTCTTTTCTTTCTTTTTTAAAAACACACCACTACTTATGTTAGTGCGTTCCATGGCAATTGTTAACAGAATAAATGCACACAACTATAGCTCTTACTTTACTACTCCAGGGCTGGCTAATAAAACATTCAGTCAATCTAAAGGCTACTAACTCCCATGGAGTTTTTTTTTTTTCTTCATTTTTTTCCTATTCTACACATTCCAGCCACTGCATTTCTTATTCTAGGGCAAAAAGGGACCAAACAGCTTTTACGAATGAGAACTTTTAAACATGAAAAGAAAGAAGCTACATGAGAAAATACTGTTAGAGGCAAAGGAATGCCAGATGGATTCTAGGAGGTCTTCCTGTGACTAATTCCTTATTCTGACCTGGGCTCTTTGCATGCACAATCATGGGAGAACACTGAGCTTACGCATACGGCAATACCACCCCCATTTTCTTACAAGCCCTAGCGTGCAAGAAGGGGCATCTTCCCAGCATGGGAAGTCTTCATGGCATGAAGAGACCAAATCTGCTGTGACTTAACACTGTTTACTTGTAGCTACCATTTTACAGCTCTAACAGCATACTATCTAACACTCTCCTAGTCACCTGAGGCACCAACGAGTTGGTGTCCCCCTCTTTTATTTATGTAGTTGCCACAATCATATGGGGATTGGATTAAACAGGCCAACCTTTCAAATTAGTGCTTGCTTTCAACACAAACTGAATGTAAATCAAATGCATATCTGTTTTGACTATCTCACCTTATCACAACCCTGTTCTTCATGTGGCTCTTATAAACTTTCTGCATAAAGGACTTCAGCCTAGCTTCACCTGCCTAAAGGACTTCAGCTGCATTGGGCTTGAGTCAGATGGTGATGGCTTCAGAATGACAATACAGAAATAAAAATAGAAACTCTGGGGCCAATGACATTTTAACTAATATCCATGAGGGTACTAATACTGATTCTCAACTCCTGTTTATTTTCCCTTTCTTAAATTCTTGAGTACAAGGCTATTAATGGATTATGCAGAAAACACAAAGGAATGTTTCCATATTTGCATTTCAAGAGATTTTAAGTCACATAAGTAACTAATTTTTTTTTGCTTTGTTTTTTGGGCCAATGTATTTGCACACACGAGTCAAGTGACCAGAGTTCAGATCATGACTAAACATATCCTGCAAGAAATCAAAACATTCACAAGATTGGGACCAGCATGCCTGCAATGCATCCATTGGGAAGATAGAAAATACCAATTGGGTTGGCTTCAGAAACAGTTACATGAACTCCTCCTCAGCATAAATGACAAGTACGGCATCTAGTTATTTAGCCTTCTTCTTCCTTCAAAGCCTCTCCCCATATAATAAAGCCAAGTAAAATACTGTACAACTTTTCTCAAGATGCAGATGTGCAGCAACAGCAAAAACAAAACAAAACAGAACCAAACCACACCGCCCTCCCAAACTGGCTTAGAATTCATTTCCGGCTCATTTAAACTGAAAGCAAGTGCCTCTTAAGCAAGAGATTTTTGTGTAAATTTACATTGATTCGAATGAGCAGCCCATCCTGTCCCCACCAACAGTAAATTTAAAAACCGGGTATAGTCCAGACACAGGTTTACTGCGATCTATTAGAATTAGGCCTTCAGAGAGTTCAATCTCTCCTCTATACCATGCCTCTAGAGCCCATGTTATTTCTAGAAAAACATTCTTTCCAGCTGCTGCTCTTTCCTTTGTTCTAGATCTTTAAATACTAACGTTGGCACATGTGACTTTTGGGCCAAGCAAATATATATCTTCTGAAATAAGTAATTTAAAAAAGCATCTATGTGAAATTCATACAATTTGTTTCAGATGTGGCCTGTGCAACTAACTGGCAAAGTGGACTCCCTGTTCTTATTTGCAACAGCCCAGGAGGCCTCCAAAAATGCTACAAAGGTGGATGGAGCTATTCTTGCTGGATAGACTATGTCCTGGTGGAGCTGAAACTGGATATCCCCAAACACTGGGTGGAAGCACCTTTTGTGAGTGCAATTCTGCTTAGAAAAAAGTGTCTTATTCTGATTTTCAGGAGACCCCTCTCCCCCATGTCCCCAACACCAGACTATCTCATATGTCAAGGTCCTTAACCCTAAGATCTTTTTCCTATAATACAGCCACCAGGATAATGGGGGAACACTCTTCACTGCTCTGCCTTCTACAACACAGAAAGTCCTAGAAGTCCTCTCTAGGCTCTCTCTCTTGGTGGTGATTTAGATTTCACTGTCCTGTGAAAGTGAGTTTGTGTAAAAAAGGAACAGGAATGTTATGGGGTACAGTCCTCCTGACTTATCTATAGTGGTACTGATTCTACTTGCACCATGTGTGTATAGTTTCCACTTCAGCTAAATAAATAAAAGTGACAGCCTCCCAGCCAGCTTTGTGCTGACTGGAAGGACTAAAAACAAAAAACCCAGCAATACTCAACCAGTTGAAAGCTGATTGAGTTGTGCATCAGCTCAGATGCTGCTGATGCACAAGGTAGGTCGCTTGGACAATTTGATCAGACTCTAAACAGCATTTTTGAACAGCTGGAAGGGCTACTGAGGGAAAGAAGTAAAAGAAGTGTGCTTATACTAGCTCAACTGCACATGCTTGAAAAATTAACCCAAACAGAAAATTTGGGGTAACATCTGCAAGAGAAGACTTATGTTGAAGATGAGTTAGTTCATTATGCTTGAAGCCAAATCAAATTTGCCACTAATTTGGGAAGGGGGGGGGGAGGTTAAATCAACGATAAAATTTGATCTTATAGCAAGTATGGGTTAAAGTGAATGTTCAAACTGACCTTGTTAGATAAAAATACTAATAAGCGTTTTAAAATGGGGGAAAGTGACTATTGTGATTGTACTGGCAAGTTCTAAAGTCAGCATCTTTCAGCAAAAAGACACCTCCCCACAAAAAAATCTAGAATGAGTCATGAGCCTTTGTGGTTTTGCAGTAAGAGAAATCTGAGCAGGCGGCTACAATATCACATATTGGCTAGAGAAACCAAGGACAAAAAAGACACATCTTTAACTTGGCAATCTCTAACCCTTATGAAGTCCAAAAGAGAATCTTGAGGAGGTGTTTTTTCCCCCCCCATCTGGAAGTCGGCTCAAAGTAAGATATAAAATAAATAATACTCAAAGACTACTGAAGAAAATACTGCTCCCATCTGGTCAGGTATATATAGATACAGCATGCCTACATACAGAAAATCATGTGGCGCTGTCATTTACAAACAGGAAATACAGCAGTGCGGTATTAGAAGCTTTAAATATTCCAGGTCTGTGTAAGTTTTTTTTCTGAGATTTAACCCCCCTGCCAAAAAAAAAAAAAGGAAAGAAGAATGGAAGGAACAAAAAGTCAAATCCTGCATTCACAAAGCATTCACAACTTATTTGTTGTCTGTAGCAAACAGTTCATGTGGCTGTGTATGTTCCGGGTATTAATATTCCTCTGCAGAGTTGCTACCCGTGAGATACCCGTTTGTTCCATTTGTCCCATTGGTGGTAGCTGAGCTGTGGGAGCTCCTTGATTGAAGAGCGGAGGACTCCTCATCTGAACTGGACTCAACATCACTTCGGTCATCTTTTGCCTGCAAAACATGCAAGGAAATGGGTGTGCGGGGAGGAGGACACCTATTGGAATCGGTTGCATAAGAGAAAGGAAATCAGCCCTCTGCTCAATTATTTACTTGTTTATTAAACTTGTTATACTGCCAACTATCAGAGTCTCTTGGCAGTTTACAATAAAACAATTAATCCTGTCCCCAGTTCAAAAGTTGGGGAACCATCCAGCTTCTAGCTGCATCTTGAAAGATTCTTTAACTACTTGCTTCAGAGTACTAAACCAGAAAAGTTGAGGGAAAGCTGCATCAGACCAGTGGGTGGTGGGTGAATGCCTGCTTCTGTGTTTTACACTAAAAGGGACACTTAGTTGAGAAGAGCTAAACGCTTCCCCCTTCTGCTACCTCACCTTCTGCATCTGATCAGTTCAGCCTTTTTCCCCTCCCAGCCCATCTTATCTCTGGTATTAGAGCTAGGTTGGGAGGAAAAAGAACTGGTTATAGAGTTCAAGGAGAGGTTAGAAAGAAGACTTAATGGTACTCATCCAGAAGTTAAATTTAGACCTCAGCCTCAGTACTACATCCAGTGGGACACACAAAAGAAACAGCAGTGGCTGGATAGCTCTGGTCACATCCTTTTTACTAGCTGCTGCCTCCTACCCTCACCTTTTAAATCTCTGTATTATGGTCCATCTGTCTGTCCACCCATCCACCCATCCATCCACCCACCCATCCTTTAAATTTCCTTTCTTTAGCAAAGTCTTCCAGAATCTCTTTAAGATGTACTTGCCTGTACTTCTTTGTCCCAACTGAGCTTTAGCATTGCTTTAATCCCTGCTATTGTCATGAGCCATGATTCAGAGTCAGAGTCAGACTCTGAATCGTGGCTCATGACAGCTATCACCCTGAATGCCCCTTGTCAATAAAGCTAATGTCTGAAACCCACTTTGAGGAAGGAATTACAGACAATCAGCAAATCTGATCCATGTACCTATAGCATAACCTTTCAATTTCTCTTCCTCTCCATATAAACAAGGAGGGGAACAGCAATATCTCTTCTTGCAAGCCTACACTAGTATATTGAAAGCCTACACCAGATATTCTTCTTGCACTTGTTATTGCTTATGCCACTAGATTTGCTAAAATAGCTGCATGAGATTCCAGCTGACAATTTCGATTATAAGTTTTTTGTTTAGAGTTCCCATAGCTAAATAAGTTTTGTGACAAACTTAGCACATGGTTGATAGTATCCTGTAGTAATGATATCAACAGTAAAGAAACAGTTTGAGAGTTGAAGAAATGTTGACATCAATGAACAATATACAATAGAGGAAGCTTCTGTGGGCATTACCAGTCATGGCTTCAAATTGGATTGTGCAAAAACCAAAACCCAAACCAACAAAACAACAACCCTTTGCCATCATAGTAAGAAAAAACTGAATTTGGTGTGATAGAAAGCACCCAATGAACTAGAAGCCATGTCTGCTATGGCAGTCAAGATGGGCAGGAGAAGGTGAGTGTCAAGAAGCAGCAGCAAAGAAATTATTGCAGTTGAGAAGGCCATGAACAAACCAAGAAGCCACTGATGGAGGGATGGGCAATTTGTAATCCAAGGACCATATGCAGCTCTCAAATTCTTATTTTTGGGGTAGTTCTCAGAGCTGCTTCTAACGTCAATTTTGAATGGTGCATGCCCCCAAATTAGCAGTTTCCTGCTAGTTTAAGACTGTACTTTAAGACATTGTATAATATTAACATGGCTAACTAGTAATACAAAATAAATTATACAAAAAAGGGGAGAATCCTGTAGAATTCCAGCCCCAACTGCATTCAATACTGTGCCATCTACTCTGGCTCTCAGCTCTCCCCCAAGCCCCACTACTAAAAGGCTGTCTACTCCTGCATCAGTGAGTGCTCAATATACTATGAAGTAATGTGCTATATAATAAAAATCCTGATCATGAACTGTATTTGGCACAACAGCAAGCAGTAAATTTGGAGCAGAAGAGAAAACTGCTAAACAGAAGAAGGAGCCTCAGACAAAGGCCAAGCAGTATCAAAAGTAATAAAGCAATGGAGGGTTGAGTGAACCTGCAACTGTGTGAACTAGACGCATGTAATGAATTTCAGCACTGCATAAGAAAGGAACTCTAGTATTTAAAGCCTCTGAAGTCTTACTGGATGTGCATAGGAGACCTATTATTTGATGGCCAAATAGTAGGTTATTTAAGTCATGTATATTGAATTCAAATGCAGGATATAAGCCACTGACAAAGCAGAAATAAAATTCCGTGCTAGTTATTCAAGTTGATGTTCTTGTGATCGCCTGACCAAAGGAAATAAATAACACTATATAGTAACATTCCATAAAATTTTCACATGGGCTTGTGGGCCACTGCAAATACTTTCAACCATCCATCCTGTAAGTTATTGGCATGAAAAGCTCAGCTGGGGGCAACTCTAGAAACACTTTTCCTTTTTTTCATATTTAAATGTTTCCATCTGGAAATGGCCATTAGAACAGGAGGTCAAGAGAACAAGGGTCAAATAGGTTTGTATCTTTCCTATCTAGGAATATGCTAAATAATTGTTGGCTCTAGCGCTGCAAAGAGCATGCAATCTTTAGCAAAGTGAACATTCAGCTGAACAATTAAAGGACACAGAAAGGAAGCGGGGAAGAGGCAAACCCAGAAAAAGAGATACGTGTACTGTGTTCTCCCTACCAGGGAAACTTACATGCAAAGGATTCCACTTCCCAGCCTTCAGAGGCAGCAGAAAGGAAATTATTAAGAAGGTTTAGAAAGAAGTCACATGCAGTTTTCCTGTGAAACAAGAGGCTGCCTACCAGAACACAAATTAAATACGTTCCAGTATGAGGCTCAGTATGGAAGACACAGAGACCCCACAGAAACCCCACCTACCAGCCTAGAACACGTCTCTGAATATGAGAAGTCTGGGCAGATCGTGGTTTCACATTCTGCAACTGCTCAAGGCTGTTTTGCACACTGCCCTTTTAATTTTATTTATTATATTTTCCACACATACTTTTTTAGAAAGAGAAATACAAATGCATGTTTGTGACTGCACGGGTGCTTTCAGAAAGAATTGAAAACAGCTTCCTGACAAGTGTACACTTGGGCAGGTACAGATGCTTGTAGTCCTAAGAAACAGACTTTTGCTTAGGAGCAAACTGGTCCTGGTAATGAACTAAGCACAAAACCACAACAATAACCACTTGAACCAGAAGAGTACGTATTCAATCTAATATTCAAATAATGATCCTATACTCAGATGATCAATAGTAAATATTTCAGACCTCACAGTGGCTAAACCACATACAAAGGTTTGCTTAACCAGAGTTCACTGAATAAACCACAGTTGGCTGGGTTAGTTCAAAACACTAAACCACCTCCAGAAAACCAGGCTGGAGGTGAAAGGAGAGAAGCACAATAGGCTGTTTCACCTTCCATTGCAATTAGGCAAAGCTTGAATGAGGCAGTTCAAAACAACCTTTCCACTGGAAAACTAGAATTTAGCTCGGAAATCAGGTGGATAAAAATAGCAAAAAATACAGAAGACCTAAAATACGACAGGACAAGGATCGATGAGTGTACTCATGAACTGAGCTCAGAGCTCAGCCTTTGGGTCTTTCAGAGAGAGCTTTTGGCAGGTTCTGTTCTAAAGTCAAATAGTGTTTCTTTGGAGAACCAGACTTTGCTATCTACAATGGCTGAACTCATACAATGTGCTAAGATACAAATATAACAAGAACTGAGCCTATGTTTATCGGAAGCACTGCGAGCCTCTTTAACATCTTTGAAGTCAGAAATCCTAACAATGCTATGATAACAGACTTCCACTGCCAAAAAGACTATAAAGCATGCAAGAATATTCACTGGAAGAAGATTAAAAGACATAAAAAAAAAAATCTCAATTTATCTTACCTTGCCTTTCAAAATAGCTTTATAGGCTGCCTTTATTATTAAGTAGGACCAAAAGCAGTGGAGAACCTGAAGTACTGAAAGTAAAATGACGAAGATTGATAAAGCAGGAAAGCCACCAACAAGTTCAGGCAGTTCGAAGAATACTGTATTTATTATCCTGAAAGAAATAGGGAGGGGGGAGAGGCACATTAGTGAGAAATAGATCATTTATCAACACTACATATTCTCACAGAGATACTTAGCAGTCAAGCTGGTAGCGCAGGAGGTTTCACACAGCTTCTATGATTTCTGAGATGAATCAGCCAGACTATTTTTATATTCATGCAGAATTTATACATTTCTTTCACAGAAGGCAAGTCTACTCATATTACTTTTATCCCTGTTCCCCCTTCCCTCCTGTTTTATTATATTTCTTACATTTATATCCCACCTTTGCTCCAACTCTTTAGGGAGCCCTCTCTAGAATCATACCCATTTCTGCTTAATTATGTTGAGTTTGCTATCCTGGAAACTCTTCCACATGAGCTGTTTTATTGACTTGTAGTAAAATGCTTGTTAACAATCTATATTTAGGTAACTATATCTATACACATCTCACAACAATATCTTAAAGGAGGGAACAGAAGATTAAAAAACAAAAGATAACATTACACAATTTGTTAAAATAAGCCACCAAAAACTATCAATATAACACGTGCCCGAGGTTTAAAACCATGCCATATTCACAGTCAATAAAAAGCCAACGACCAAGGAAATCAAAACCAGGGCTCATTTAGCATTCTGGCCTAAACGCCTGAGGGAACAATCAGGTCTTTAATGCCTTTGGTGATGGGTCAACAGGGTTGGAGTTATCCAGATCTTGGGACGGTGGTGTTCCACAGGACAGGCGTTGTGACAGAGAAGTCATGACTTCTGGGCCCCACAAGATGACAACGCTTAATAGAAGGGACACAGAACTTGCTCACCCTGTTGGTTCTGGTGGGGCAAGCACAAACAACTGCATACGGGTGGTCCAACAAGTAACTTCCTGCTGTATGTTGTCCTATTTTGCTTGAGAGACTTGTTTTATTTTAATTCTTCAGTGAGGTTGCTCTTTTTTATCTTTCCTTCCCCAGGATTTTGCTTGTATGTAGAAGGGCATGTCTTATCTTGCGGTGGATATTTTTGAAGGCATAGTTGAGTTTTAGATTTCTTTTTAAGAAATACATCAAACCAAAATGGCATGAAACACTAAGTCACATCTACTTCATTTGTCTTGTAGGATTACTCATGGTGCATTCACTTTTTTTCTTCCACAAGGAGGTGGTAATAGACCAAATGTAACCACCAGATGGCATGTTCAGCAAGTTAGCTCCAGTAGTCATTATGATGGTGAACTTTTAGTGGAAAATTCTCCAACACCAAGAAATTTGAAGTACGCATCTGCTTATATTTGTAATTCAATTTTTGGGATGAAACAAAATCTGGGATTGCATGGAAAAGTGGGGATTAAACTTTATACAGGAGATGGCTGAAGGCTCTAAGGGTGACCCAAACGGGAAAGACACTGGCAGAGAGTCCAGATATGATAATGAAAGGTTTAAACATTGGAATGAAACTTGAAGCAAGGAGAGAGAATTATCTTGGGACAATGTTCTGGGCTTAAGCTGAGGAGCTGCTGTTCTCTGAGAAAGAGAGGGGAAAGGAGTATTTTAAAAGGATGGTTAAATGAAGCCGGATAAAATGGGCCAGATTTTGTCATTGTGGTATCTTTCCAACATGGTTCTTGATTCCAACTTCTTTAATTCTAGTCAACCTGACTGGAAATAGTAGACTCTGTAATTAAAGGTGTCAGGCAGGCACTAGGTTAGAGATAGTTGAATCAGGCAATGGCCTGAAATACACCATCATGAGAGAAGAGAAGGTGATACAGACGAAGTGGAAGGGGAACAGGAATTTAATTAAAAAGAAAATTTCTCATCCACAGTCTTAAAAGCTTTATATTTTCAATGGTCTGTGCAAACCTTTCAAAATTTCTCAGATGAAAACAGGGACACCCACATCCAAAAATGTACAGGGCAGAGTGTGGTAGGTCAATGGCATAGCCGGTAGATGATAATGGGGACAGTATGACTTGGATAGACATTCCACTAGGTAAAATTGGAACAAAGAGTGAATGGTGAAAAGAACATGATGGAAAAAGTCAAACATATTGACCGGGCTCATATGTGGTGCTATGTCATGGTTTGTTTAACCATGGTTTGTTGAATAGATCACAATTAGCAGTTCATACAATATGCTAAGCCCAAACAAAGGAATCCACCTTCTGGCTTGCTATGATGTGTGACTGCAGTCACTGTGAAAGAAGAGTTTTCCAGGTTCAAATAACTAATATTTCTTAGAGAATTGAGTACACTTTCATGTGAAAGAAAATCTCTGAACTTCCTGTAGCTACAGAATAATACAGATTCACTGTTAAAAATTGTTATCAATTCCTAGTTTTCAGCAGAAGTCAGAGCAAATGCAATTATTTGAGTTTGAACCATACATTACTTTCTTGCATTTAGATTTATTACTCCATTTTAGCAACAAGTATTAAAATCTTTGACACAACCTTAAAATCCTACCAGAAAAGGATTCCCTTCAAATGCATTTTTACAATTTTCCATTGTCTTCCATTTTTAAAATGTAATGACTAAACAATCTTAATTACCCTTCATTCAATATGGAACACTGTTCAGAGCAGTGTAAAACTATAAAAAATATAATATAATAAATAATATTCATGCAAATACTAAAAAAAGAGGTGAAACAATAAGGCAGAGAATATCCAGCTGCATTCTCTACATGGAAAGTTGTTATACTTTACAATAAGTTGATTTTTATCATAATTTTGTCCCTTAGGATAGTTAATTCAAAACATATCTGAAAATGTGCCCAATTACTTTGTGATACTTAATTAAATGCGACCCACAGAAGTATTAACAGCATCTACTTTTTTTTTCCTGTCCACATTACTCAGAACAGGAATGGATAATGTATTTATATTACAAAAACATGTTTTGTCTTTTGCAGTTTTAAGTATCTGTTTGCTTAAGACAATATTTACGTGGCAAAATATACAGGAATCACCAATGTTCAATTTGTCAATTGTCAAATTAATTAAAATGAACACCTTTATTTCAGATCTAGTTAGGTTTTTGAACAACATCCCTCACAAATCTTTACTACTGGCTGGGACTGATGGGAATTGAAGTTAAAATCTAGAGATCAGAACATTCAACAGATTTTAGGAAACATTGTTCTGAGTGTAGCTAATTACAAAATGTTAATTTCCCAGGGGAAAAAGGTGAGATTAAAAGAAAACATAACCAGCCTAGGAACCTGAATAGAATGCAGGACAGAAAATTAGCAATTTGAATGCTGTTTTTTTTGTTTGTACACAGATACATTTCAAAGAAAAGTGAACTACCGAATATAAAAGAACTTGCTCCAAATCCCAAATATGTGGTAGAAAGGAGATTCTAGCCTCAAAATAAGCACCAGGGCCCCTGAAATCCAAGAAAACACCGATGGAAGTGCTAGGTTTGATGAAAATGGTAATCCAGTGTATATGAGGGTGTCTGGTTGAAGAAGATAATGCAGTTTGCATATTCTTGTAGGACATTAGCTTATCCTAAGATCTGTTTTGCAAGGATTAGAATCTTCCCATTTCATAGATGAGGAAATTCATTACACATGAATTCATCTGATTCTGACCACTCCCTACTGCTTCGTAAGAGAATAATTAATATTGGCATAAGGAAGCTGATATTAGAGGATGTGTCAATTTTTTCCTGGGTCATTAACCATCAATATAAAAGTATCTTGCACAAGTAAGCTCACACTGCAACACAGTCTGAGATGAAATCTTTTCAACTGAATTTTTTTTTTTTTTTTTTTTACAGTATCCATAAAGTCTCCCACTTGACTCAATTTGAATACATTCAACTTTTCTCTCTCAGCTTTTTTTGAAGATATTGTGTGGTGGCATATTTAAGTTACTATACTGAAAGATATGATTTACTGAGTTTGGGAAAATAGTAATTCAGCTGTATCTGCATCTGGTGGGATAGAGTGGGGTGCAATATTCAGTAACTACTCCCAATAGATACTGATTGGATTGGGAAAAAAATACTGCAATTGCAGAATCAGTTATTAAATCATTTTGCTGTAACTGAATTTAGAGTCTATCTTATTTTTATTTATTTATGAATTTATAAACCACTTCAGTCTAAGGGATTCTAAGTGGTGAACTAAAGAATCCGCTGCAGCCAATGTAATAATAACAATGACATACATACTACATACAATAATTATGTTAGCATATAATGACAGAAATACAATTCACAATGATGGTTAAACATTACAATTAATATAATGTTCCAGCAGTAGGAGCACTGCAGTGCCGAAATTCCAAAGGGCTTCTGGAACAACCATGTTTTTATGAGCTTCTAGAAGGTCAAGAAAGCAGATGCTATTTTGACAGGCTGTTCCAGAGGTGGGGAGCCCAGACAGAGAATTTGAAGCCCCTCCTGTCACACCTCAGTGGGCATTCCTGGTGTCCTTGGATTGGGTCAGCAGAAGCTATGGGGAATAGGTGGTCTCAAAGAAGGAAGGAAGAAGGAAGAGGAGGTGGCTTTACCTACTTTATAGGTAATAACCAGCACCTTGAATTCCACTTGGAAATATATTGGCATCCAGGGTAGCATATGGATCTTGTGCCAGACTGGCTGCTGCCAAGCTGGCGTGAATCAGCAGAGAAAAAGACAAAAGAATGGGGAGAAGAGGCTCAGGTATGGCCTTGGAGCGCAGCCAGGCTGTCAGGAGGGCAGATGAGCTGCCCCGGCTGCCAGCCAGGGCTGTGGTGGGGCAGAAAGAGGCAGCGTTTTCATTGACTAAAGCCCTGAGGGGAAACCCACCTCATCCGTTGCTGGAGGAAATGCTGCTGGTTTGGGCAGTAAAGGAGAGATAGGCAGAGAGAGGAGAAAAACAGAGGGACACGTTTGAACCTGTGCTCCTTTGAGGCACTGAGTCAAATAAGTGCCTTTGGAGAGACAGCCTGGAAAGCTGGTGGCTGGAGAGAGACACATCATCATGTGTGAGCGCTGGGCTGCTGGAGTGTGCAGGTGCCAGTTCCTGGGCCAAGAGGGTGAAGACGTTCGCTGGAAACTTCCCTGGGGAAAAAAGACATGAAGACCCAGAGAGGGAGATGTACTTCACCCCAAACCCAAGACAGATGGGGGCGGAGGGAGGCAACTGTCTGCAGATGGATGCCTGCAGCCTTCAGGGAAGCCCCAGCCTGGGAAGGGCTGGATAGAAGTCCCAGAAGGAGCTGCATTATGGAACATCTACCCAGAGGGACAGTTGACAAGGTCCAAAAAAGCACAAAGAAAGGCTTTAAGCACACCCCACAGTAACTCAGCCACTTCCCTTCTTCTCTCTCTCTCTTAATGAAGCTGAGGGGGAGGGAGGAAGACAAAGGGAGGGTGTTGGCAGCTAGCAGTGGAGTGGGTGGTTGCTAGCAAATGGCTCTGGGAGAGAGACAGAAAAGTTTGGACACTCTGCTGTAAACAGTAAAGGAAACATAAAAGCCGCCACTGTCTCTGTGAAGCAATCGTCTTCCTTAAAGACACACATAAACACACCCAGCTATAAAAGAATCCTTAGTCACCCAATCAGCTCCTGCACCAATGGTGTTACGTGGCAGTAATGAGACTGTCCAATAAGCATACAAACTGTTTCCCTTTTCATCAGTTGGAGTATCTGGTGGATCTTCAAACAGCAGCCCCATGTAAAATGGATGGATTAAGTGTCCCCAGCCTAATCCTTCAGGTCTTCCTGTGGTGTGTCTGTAATTGGGTCCATCCACCTTGCTGCTAGTTGTCCTGTTCTCTTTCCTTCCACCTTTTCCAGCATTAGACACTTCTCCAAAGAGCTAGGTCTTTGTACAACATATCCAAAATATGATAATTTGAGCCTGGTCATTTGGGCCTCCAGTGAGAATTCTATGTTGATTTGTTTGATGATCCATCGGTTTGTTTTCTTGGCTATCCATGATATTCTCAGGAGTCTTCTCCAACACCAGCATTCAAAAGCATCAATGCTCTATTCTGCTTCTTCTAAGTGCAACTTTCCCTTTCAATAGACTGTCAATGGGAAAATCATTATTTCACCATTCTGATCTTTGTAGGTTTGGACACATCACAGCATCTGCATATTTCTTCCAAGGCCTTCATTACTACACTACCAAGTGCTAGTCTGCAGTGTATTTCTTGACTGCTGGTTCCTTTACTGATGATGATGACGATGATACACCATGAAGTCAGTGCTGACTTTTAGTGACTACGCAGGTAGATTTTCTGCATGAAGATCTGTCCCTAACCTGGTCCTTCAGATCTTCCAATAGTGCATCCATCACCACTGTAACGGAGTCCATCCACCTTGCTGCTGAATACCAAAATAAATAGCCTAGTGGCTACCAGCAGTTCATAGGCTCTGAGTTACTGTCCTACTTGACCTGATACAGAAAAGTGTCATGAGGTTAGGGTCACTAATACTGAAAAATTGTAACAACCATAGACTTAATTTTGGACTTTAGTTTGTATGTTTCCAAGATACATATTGTAGTCCATTTTCTGCTCATTTTTACATAGACAAAGAATGAAGGAATGCTTTCTTATTCAGCATTATAGTTTTAAAAAGTGCATGTTCTATTGATTGACTGATTGCAGTGTTTATATGCTGCCTACTTGTCAGATGTGCAAGTACGAGTACAATATTAAAACTCCATAAAAACCCCATATAAGATTAAAGGGTCACTAATACTGAAAAATTGTAACAACCATAGACTTAATTTTGGACTTTAGTTTGTATGTTTCCAAGATACATATTGTAGTCCATTTTCTGCTCATTTTTACATAGACAAAGAATGAAGGAATGCTTTCTTATTCAGCATTATAGTTTTAAAAAGTGCATGTTCTATTGATTGACTGATTGCAGTGTTTATATGCTGCCTACTTGTCAGATGTGCAAGTACGAGTACAATATTAAAACTCCATAAAAACCCCATATAAGATTAAAAATACATCAGTTGCTGTCCCTCAAGTTGACATTCTTCCTTTGGGAATGCTCTAGGGAAGACAAACTTCCTAAAGGATAAAAAGGTAGGGGTTAACTTGACCTCAGGGGCAATCTATTCCACAGTGAGGAAACTGCCACAAGAAAGTCATCCACTGGGCCCCAACCCCTTTGATCTCTTGAGGAGTGGATACCTGAAGCATTCTCTTCCATCTTAAAGAGCATGTCTTAAGTCAATTCTACTGCAAGCTTCTGAATTTAGCCGAAGACCATCCTCTACAGCAATTTTTTCCTGCTGAGTAATCCAGCCCTGCTGACTTCTGCCACTTTCAAAATGTAATTACACTGAGAGGAAAGCAGCACGGAAAATAAAAATCTGCTACTGCACTTCTACTGAATTTCAAGTTCATTTCTTATTGATGGATTAGGAAAGATAATGAAAAATCCAGGCATCAGAACACACAGAGTTTTAGCACTTTGTAAAAAGAAATGATAGTTTGTCAAACAGCTCAAAGTACTTTTGGATTTGGCAAAGCTGCAGGAAAGTTTAGAGGAGCGTATAAGTTTAGACTTCAGGTTCATGCTTTTCCACTATTTCTGTTGTCACAGAATGCAAACCCCATCCAATTTCTGTAGCCTGCCACCAAGAGAAGTGGACACAACATGGAAGTCCAGCAGATTGCACCTACATGGTCACCTAGCCTGAAGCCACTTCTTTTCCATTTTACTGTTACCATAGTCACAATGCTTTTATTACAATCTGTGTAATAAAAAAAAAAGTCAGTGTTAGCACTATAAGTGGATGCTACTTGACACCTAATATTTGGATGGTATTCTAGTTGTAATCTAAGCAATGCCCTCTTCCTGCCAAGATTCACTGGTTCTTCACTGTGGAAAACATCACATTATAAAAAATAACAGCCTTCAAAACAGAGAGACAACAGGCCACTAACTGGCTCTTTCCCATACTTGAACAGTCTTCCATACAACCTGGAGCCATCTGTCGGCCACACTGACTAGAAACTTTGGGAGTTGCAGTCCAACAAAGCCACAGGTTTCCAGGTTGAGGAAGGCTGTCTTAGCATATGCAATCCCGTGAAAAAAGTACACTTACTTACCATAAAGGATAGATTCCAAGCCTAGTAATAATGAAAATAATAGCAAACATAAGGAAGAGGAAATCACAGAGTTTTTGAAACTTGCAGTAGTTTGCCATTTTGGCTGCCTGTAATAAGGAAAGGAAACAGGTCACTTTCGTTTTAAAGCAACTGTGCAGAAATTATACCATGCAAAATACTCAACTATGCACTGTACACTATTATGAATCTTTACTGCCCTTACTACTTCCACTTTGAAGCTTCATAGAATATTGTGAAGGCAAAAGGTGATACTGTCCATTAACACTTCTCATCTTATTTTTTAATGGCTCTACTGCTATATACCATCTTTATTTCTGAATTATAATAAGTTATAATATTGGGTTTTTTGTTTTTTTGTTTTTCTAGCACTCCAAACTTAAATAAGCTTATTCAATTTATTCTGAGTTCAGGACGACCTAATTCCTAGAAACAATTCTTAGGATTCTTTCTTTCCCACTTCTATTTGCTTTTTCTTCTGCGCTAATTCAATCACATCTTTGTTATTTGATCCCTATATATTCAAATCCTTCTCTGGATTATATTTCAGACACTGTATACTTGGGTTTCCAAAAGCTTTTGACAAAGTCCTTGTAGTGGATTTAGGGGACTGAAGGCTAGACAGTGATAAGTTTTTTAGAATCCCATAAAGCTCCTGTTCTCTTCCAATGAGAGGCAGCTGGGACAGGGAGGAATTTGGGCTGACAGAGGCAGCTAGAACTTCCTTCAGACCAGTAATGTGTTGGCTGCAGGTCCTGAGAATATCAAGGATTGCAGGAGCAGGTCTTCTGACTAGGCCCGGGACTCATGTCTTCTCCCAAAAGTCTAGGGAGAACTAGAACCAGTACGATAAAATTGGCAGGAAACATACCTGCAAAAACATCAAGGATGTTTTATTTCTTTTCAGTGCTGCTATGCTTAGTTGTGTATTCTGAACAAGGTGCAGAAAGACAATCTTGCTGTGCTCATGCGCCTTACTTCCAAGGACAAATATGAAGGTTTATGGTCTTAGACAAACAGTGCTTTCAAAACAACTGTCAATAGATCATGATCTTTCATAGGCTACAAGATCTGTTCCAGGTAGAAACCATTTTGGACAGCAAAGAATGATTACAAATAACTCTATCTCTTACCTCCAACACAATATCAACTACATCATGAAGACACAAAGTCAGGCACCCCACTCGTGTGAAATTGACTACGTAGGAGATTGTTATTAAAATGACTGTCACAATATGATGTGTAAACATGATGCTAAAGTCCTGGAGGATAAAGAGAGAGAAAATAAAGCAGTGTTACACAAATTAGTTTCAGTTTTCCAATGTTTAGCTTCAAGAATTTTAAAAAAATCTAATAAATGTTGTGTAATTCTTTTATGCAATTAAGTATGAAACATGTAGCAGTGTATAAATTAAAATTCAATCACCAACTTAGTAAAGACAAATAAAAATAAACATAAAATACCAAATAGCATTGTTTAACTCATATCAAGAAACAACATAAACAATTATATATAAAACAAATATGAAGCCCCAGGTGCTTTGCTTTATTACTTTCTGAATAAGGCCAGCCCAGCCAATTTGGCTGAGGGTTACAACGGTGGGACAACTGCAGGAGCTCCCCCTGACCATTCCTTGAGCAATGCTGAATTTTCATCCCATGGAGTTGGTGTCCTGGAGACATCTGCAATATTGGCCCAGGTGGGTTGATCAATCTGAACGCCTTCTGCAAAGATGTCAGGATAATTGGGGGAGGCCCTGATCAATATCGGAAACAAAGAAATAGACAAAAGATTCCTGTGCGTGTTGTGTGCACGCCTGTATCGCTCTGCTCATATGACACTCATCGCTGCCTTATAGCTTTGGCTGGAGTGGACAGCAAGCAGGTTCTAGTAGGAGCTGTGAAGGAACAGCAATGAGGGAGTCAGCGACAGAAATGTGTACTTGGGAGGCCTATTGCTTCAGGAGTGATAACATTTTTAGCAGATACATTTTTATCTGATTTATCCAAGGGATCTAGATGGATGAGGGATGGATCCTGCCTTTCGCCTAATGCACACTATCTTAGTATGGCTCTTCCCAGCTATGTGAAAAAGATGAAGCATCAGTGTAGGAGATTTGACTTATATACTTTTTGAGAAACTCTTTTAAGAGCAACACATACTCTTGATGTGTATGCAAAGATACAATAAAATATAAAATAAATATTGAAGCAGAGTTGGATAAAAGATAGGAATCTGAATTACTTCTAAAACAAACCAAATATAGTCCATATCTAGACTTATGGAGCCTCACATACTTACATGGAAGAAAGTCATTAAGTTCACCCTTTTATTTGCAATATAGTTTGATGGACTGTTAAGAATTAAGTAAGTTTGGGTTATTCACATTTTATGGAATGTCATTAATATGCAGGCATTCCATGGGGAGTGGGGAAGAGTGAGGGACTGAACGGGCTTTTATTCTTTGCTTGGATAAACTCCAAATTATGCTACTACAATATGTTTTATAATGGGCTGCTCCTGAAGACTGTTCAGAAGCTTTGCTTAGTCTCTGACAGCTATATTTTGGATTAATAGGATCAAAAAGAACATTTTCTGCTAGTTTTTAAATGAATGTAGTGAATGCTACATTTCTGGGCATAATTCAAAGTACAGGCATTTACCTGGATAGATCTTGAGTATGTGGGATCTAGATGCCTACATATTCAAGTTTTTAAAATAAAGCAGGTGGTAAATAGGGAACATCCTTTTAGTGGTGACACTCATCCTAAGTATGATAACTCAACAAGTGTCCATTTATGTATTTTCAGCATCAAGATGAAACCTTGTTATTTGCCCAGGCTTTAAAAACTAAGCTTCATAGAAGTTTTGGGATGTATTATGCACGTATGTTTCATTGTGTCATTTGTCATGCTTCGAGTCTTAAAAGATTTCTAGAAACTCTGGAAACAGTAATACTGAAGAATGCTAGGCAGAATTTTGAAAATAAAAATACAAGTACTACAAAGGGATACTGAATCCATGAATTGCCCCTCTTAGAAAGGTTTGTGTTTGAATTGATGAAAACTCTAACCAAACCACTGTCAGTGATCACCTGATGTACTCATTAAGGGACAGAAATGAATAAGTGACTAGGTTTTATAAATGGCTAGAAAAATTAGCTACAACAATAATTTAAAGATGAGACTGGATTAGTAAACCAACATCTCATTTTTCTCTTATCTTCTTATTCAATCCTATCTATAATTTGGAGAAACCATGTGTGAAAAACTAAGTATACCCTTACTGCTTCCACTGGTATGAAGAGGCTAAGTAGCAGCCAGGTGCTGCTAATCAATGCCCTTGATCAATTGATCATCAGCAAGTGTGACTACCTCTATAACAGCCGAAGTTTTA